CTGAAGGCATAATATATTGTTAATCAACACAGGGCAATCCACATTGTTAATTTCAGTCCTGTCACAGGGCGATGCATCATACGTACCCCTCTCTTCCATGTCTTGCTTGACCCGCTCCAGCTCCTCAGTGATCTCCTGCAGTGTCTGGTTGCGTTCAGTCACGCCACCGCTAGCCTGTCGATATTTCTCCTTCGTTTCGGCCAGCTTGTCCTGCAGAGTCCTGCGGCACGGTAAGAGTAGCCAAGATATCACTTGCATGGAGGAAACATGTAATTGTGTGCATCGGGGTTGAGAAGTATGAATGGGCGTCACATTTTACTGCTTAACCCCATACGTAAAACTATGTCGTGCGCGTGTATAAAGTCACAAACGTCACAGAAGCGCATTTTTGTAACGAAGAAACGACAACTCTGATAACTCTAGGCATTCATCGATAAAACTTGTAGTGCATGCATGCACCACTTTGCCTGTACACACCCTACGGAACTTCGTAGGTACTGCCTCCTTCCAAGGCGTAAATATGTTAGTGTGAATTGATGATACAAGAGTCTTACAAACACGCGCCAGAGGTGGGAAATGAGTAGCAGAATCTCTGAGCACCTGTATTCCAGCAGAAAGTGCTCAAGCTGCGTGTTGATGTACTTCTCACGACTCGAAATCTTCTCCAGTGTGCGGCTAATCTCCGAGTGCAGCTTGTCTAGATAGCCCTTCGTTTCTGCGAGTGTGCTCTCTATACCGTCCCTATGCTGGTGCATCTGTGTAGGTGAAAGTATATATAATCCGACGAACACCGACGTGAGACCGCTGATCAGCTTATCAGGTGTTCTGCCACGAATATTAATTCTCATCATAATCGTTAATCAAGATAACAAGCTAGTGCCGATATGTGGACGCTTATGTTCTGACTACAGTTTACAGCATGTACTGTCAACCACTGAAATGACGAAGTCACAGACTAGCCAAGTCCTAAATTTCACATGGTTATTCATTGATGGACAAAAAAATAGTCCTGAGACCTGACACAAATAAATGTTTTAAAGACAATCGAACAAAAATACAATACAAATAATTTAACAACTTAGCTAAATAAAAGCGACAGTGTTCATCACAGACACTAAAATTCATGAAAACGAACAGAAGAATAGTATAGGGGCTAAGATACAATAAAGCAACCACAAAAGATAACCATGATCACTAACAGCAGTTTAATAGATTTCAGCTTATAGCTAGCAAAGACAGGCCAGGTATGATTTCGCATGACCTATACGCTAACTTCTACAACAAAAGACAACATAGCGCAAGCTTGAAAACTCATACCTGCTCTAAATGACTCCTCCAGTCCTTATTGTCGGTGCGAATGTGAACTTTCAGTGACGGCAACACCCTCTCCACCTCCAGCTTCCACTCTGCAGCATCTGTGACCGACTCGAGAATCTCCTCTGGCTTATTGTGATCCATGTCGTTTGCCTGGTTCAAACCTCGTAACGCATTCAAGTCAAGAATACTCTCTTCTTCTTCCAAGTCTTCCTCTTCTGCCATCTGATAATTGAGAGGTAACGACATTTGCTAGACTTGGATGCAGGGATTACAGACACTATCCAGTTTTTTGGCCAAAAGTAGAGAATCCTAGATCTACCATGATAGAAGCATAACTATTAATACAAGCAAATACTGTCAAACACATATATACAGGTTATTTTATAAAGTATTACAGGAAAGGGAGTTCAGAATAAGAATTAGTACCCTGCACTCAGAATCCACAGGATACGCCAATGAATGTAGAAACCCACACACTGACACACACCACATCACAAGCTTAGTGGTCATAATTCACAAACAACACGTAGGCAAACTTACGTACTGAAGTTATCGTAATGCAGGGTATTACTGCACAGGTATCGTGCGGTACTGTATGGGTTGGATATGACAGAAAAACCATTGATTGCACGCATTGATTGCATTAGTGCTTTAGTTTCAGTGAAGTGCTTTAGTTTCAGTGAAGTGCTTTAGTTTCAGTGAAGTGCATTAGTTTCAGTGTTCAGTGTCAAGCATGAGCGATTCGGCTTACCTCCTCTTCCACCTTGTTGAGTGTAACTTCTGCATCATCACCTGTAACAATCTCCTCTTCTGCTTCTTCTGTTGGATACACAGGCTGTTTCCAGGTGTGGTTACTTAGTTTGAGGGCTTCATTTGCTAGTTTGTCTAACACCTGTAACCAAGTAAACATGTGTGTGACTGTACAATGTCCATCTCTTCTTGTTTATTATGAGCACTGTTGTAATTAAATTTTTCGATTCATAAATTCCAATCGCATGCACAGCTCACTCAAATTACCTAACTTTCTGGTGTGACTGACAGGCAGCTCTAGCCAATCAGCACTGTGATAGGACATTCTAAAAACAATGCTCATTAACATTGTGCTGCGATGTCACCACTTTAGTGTGCACATGCGGCAAACATAGCTCATAAATCTGGCAAGCTTGACCGACATAGCAACAACGCAAGTGGTCATGGTTACATTACTCATGCAGATAAATCAATTATCAGGAACTAGCCGAGCACCGTGATATCAATACACATTAGGTAATTTGTTTCCCACACCATTCCATGTTTGTTTTCCTCATTTTAAAGTTACGTTTACGTTTGCGTCCCCAAGGTAACTCTAATTTAGGCGCAAATCCACTTTAGGCACCTTAGGTATCACGAAGTGATGCACAGATTTCTGTGTATCATCAACTGATGCACAGAATTTCCGTATATCAAGGAATGATGCAAAATCCCTACCCCTAACCCTAACACCATTCGTGATACCTAAGGTTATACTTTATGGCTTAGGGTTAGGGTTAGGATTTTTGCATCATTCCTTGATATACGGAGTCTGTGCATCAGTTGATGATTCACAGAAATCTGTGCATCAGTTGATGATTCACAGAAATCTGTGCATCACTTCGTGATACCTAAGGTGCCTAAAGTGGATTTGCACCCTAATTTATTACAATTAGACATTGCATAACATTCATGATGAACAAATATTAACATAAACATACCCCTGCCTAAGTGATGCCTAAAAGTCATGAACAGAAGAGGATTTGGTTACCTGCACCACCAACTCTCCATATCCTGACTTCAACTTGCTGGGGGAGAATGAAATACTATGACCAAGATTTCGCAGTTCCGCAAGAATGTCAGCTATTAGATTATTAGGATCATCATCTTCTGATGGCTGTGGAAACTGCTTTCCACACATTCGTATCAACATGGCCGCAATCGAAACAAACATAAAGAACTGCTCTCCAGGATTTGTCTGTATGACAAAATAGTGTTTTGAAATTGGTTTCAGACCAATATGCCTGTTTTTAGTCACTTCGGTCTCATAATTTAATATTTTTAGCTTTTCCTGGAGCTCCTCCATTGTGACAAATATCTGATACACCGCGCCTGGTCCTCCATCTTCCATATCTGCTGCATCTTCTTGTCTGCCATGGTCTGTCATGATTATCAATGAGATTAATTATTATCATGTGGTTGGGACCAAGCCACGTCCAACGTGAGACTCAGAAGCAGTGCTGTGCACGGTCGGCGTACGTTGTGAACACTCCTGAACTAAGCCTACAACCTATATCACCACCACGTTGGCATCTAACCGCAACCCGTAATTTTCAATTAGTTTGATAAATCCACTATTTTGTTGCCATCCAGATTGATAAAGCTTTTGGTCGCCATAACAAACAAATATGTAATGATAGGTGGCAGCACAATAAATAAATGCTCTTGTGTAAAATGGCTGCGAAAATATTGGCAATCGTGAGGTCAAATCCTGTGTTGCGAATTACTCCTGCAACTTTATCTATACAATGGAATAAATTATCGTCTGATACTTCTAAGTCACAATCTAGTGAATCAAAGGACGAAGTCACACACACAGGACAGGTATGCTAGATAGTTCAGGCTCGTAGTGCCTAGTGCTGGCACTGCCACGGCACTGCCATAAATGATAGAATGATAAGCCTATTAATTTATAACGTTTAATATATAGTTTAAAAATTCTACATTATTATAAATTTATAATTAAATTGTTATAAATTAATAGGTTATAATTTATCTATTCATTTACCTATTAATTTATAACGTTAACTGGTATAATTATAATTAAAAAGTATAAATTTCTAGAAATTAATAATTAATTTGTTATAATTAATAGCCATAGAGGTTTTCACCAAATATTTAGTACAGAAAAGCATTAGATTGTGTATTGATTGATTGATTGAGTGATTTATTTCGATAATTAACAAAGCATACATGACGTCGTTAACAGCATAAATAAACAAAATGCAGCTAGAAAATTATCGTGGATGAAAACACAAAAAGCGTGGCTAACACACTTAAGGGTACGCTTAGTACTAGTAGTGTAGATCAGTCACAGTTAGTACACTGTGTAAGTAGTGTTGCAGGGAACGGTCGTAGCTATAACCGACAACGTCGACAGGGTCGTACGCCCTAGCAACTGTCGTTAACCATGCTGTATTACACAGTACGTGACGCCGACTTCGGCCGATGATGACCTGATGCGACATTACGCGTGTTTTATACGCCGCATAACGGCACTTACGTCCGGGTCGTAATTAGTGTAAATTCGTGTGGTCACGCGAATTGGATAGCATACAACAGAGATTCTAATAACAGCGCTACTAATAAACGCGCCAGTTTACCGTGAGAAGCAATAAAGGTGAGTGGAGAAATTGATTGTCCCGCGTTGGTGCTGTTATGTCCGAAAATAACGAGTTAGGATAGAGGAGGAAATCAGTGGCGGATTCAGATGTGAATTCGGGGGGGGGGGGGCAAATCATGCGAGAGCACGAGCACGAAGCGCCCGAGGGAGGGGGGGGGTGTTATAGGCTAAACTTGCCCTGAAACTTCTAGGGTGCGACCGCCCCCTGTGCTTACCTGGATGCGCCACTGGGAATAACACCTATGTGAGAGAGGGGGAATCGATTAAGTTGAAATATTTACTACGAGAGAGAGGTAAACGAATCGTAGAGAATTTTTCTTTCGTGAAAAATGGAAACTGCTTGCGATGCTATTACACTCTGGTGCCCCCCAGTTGCTCTATAAACCTCTATTGGTTTTATTGTTACATCGCCTTACTTTCATATTTATAAGTCCACGACTAGCGTACTTGTACGGCCGCTCTTTGTTGTTACGCGCTTCCTTTTCCAGGGTCATGGTC